GCGCGCGCATGTGTGTGTGTGTGTGTGTTCGTGTGCGTGTGTGCCCGTGCTGCGACACACTTATAGAGGTCAGAAGACAGTTTTCTGCAGTGAGTTCTTGTCCTCCACTGTGGGTTCCAGGAATCCAGCTCAGATCACCAGGCTTGCACACAAGTGCTTCACCTGCTGACTCATCTCATCAGCCTGAATTACCTTCATTAAATGACAGATAATTTTTTTTTAATATATATCGAGGGGATGCAAATGTGGATGGGTGGCTGAGGTGGTCAGAAGAGGGTGCTGGATCTCCCGAGGCTCAGCTACAAGAGCTGATAGGCTGACCCACTTACAGAAAGACTGGCTTCAGACCCGACACACAGACTCTAAGGCAAGCTTAGATGATGTTTTCTACCAAAAAGCAAGGGAATAATCTAGAGCGCTGAGATGAGGTCAAAGGTCAAAAGTATTGCCTTAGAAGGCTCCTGAAAGCCAGCTTTACCACAGCATCGTTGCAGGTACTGTGGCCTTTAAAAGGCCACACCAAACAAATTAAAATAATATTTCCTTTTCTGCCAGACCTGCAGTCAGAGCATGGCTCAGTGAGTAAGCTGGTTTCAACTCTCTGTATCTCCGGACTGGCTTCATATACTCTGTCCACCACAATGGATTTAGTGGTTGGATTTCACTAAAAGCCTGCTCCCAGGAGGGTGGCTGGGAGAAGTGATGGAAGTGTCAACATTACAGCCCAAGAACATATGGGACATACATATTGATGCCGCCTGCTTTGCTAAACGCAATCTGTCCCAGCATCACAAAGGAATTATAGCTGATCGACTTGCTTCAATACAGAAAAATTAAATGACAGCCAATAAAGTCGTGGCTTTATAATAGACAGCTACCATCATTCCAACGGCTGACCTCGGTGTTATAAAACTATCACAGCTCATATTGCACAGCTCTTTATACATGACAAGAGTCTCAGCACTATATACAGATTCCTTCGGGGGAGGGGAATGATGTGTATATGTGCGGGGAGTACATGTGTGCATGTTCAGGAGGTCATAGGTCAACATCGGGCATCTTCATCCATCACTCCCCATGCTGTTTTTTTGGTTTGGTTTGGTTTGGTTTGGTTTGGTTTGGTTTTGGCTTTTGAAGACAGGGTTTCTCTGTGCAGCCCTGGCTGTCCTGAAACGTTCTCTCTGTAGACCAAACTGGCCTTGAACTCACAGAGATCCGCCTGCCTCTGCCTCCTGTGTGCTGTTATTAAAGGGATGAGCCGCCGCCACCCAGTATTTTCTTTTTTAAACATTGAGCCTGGAGCTCATTGCCGCTACTAGACTGGCAGTCTGGCAACTCCAGCAATCCTCCAGTCTCTCCCATTCCCAAGCACAATGGTGGCAGGTATGTGCTGCTACATGTGTAACATGTAGTAACATACACATGTGTAACATGAGTAACAGAGATCCAAACTTGAGTCAGGTTTGCAACTGTGCCATGTCCCCAGACCTTGACTATATTTTTTTTTTTTTGAAACATAGCCTCGCTGGGCGACAGTGGTGCACGCCTTCAATCCCAGCACTCAGCAGGCAGAGGCAGGTGGATCTCTGTGAGCCTGGTCTACAAAGCAAGTTCCAGGACAGCCAGAGCTGTTACACAGAGAAACCTTGTCTTGAAAAAAAATAAAATAAAACAGGGTCTCATTTAACCCTGATCAGATGATGTTTTGGCCTGATTTAGTCATAATTTTTATCAAAATTTCTAGTCTACAGGAGCTATGGTGTGAAGTTAATTAAATGATAGCCAGAAGCAGCAATCATAAATCTACAAAAGAAAGTTTACCAGAAAATTTGCCCAGTCCCTTCAACAAAAATTAGAATAGACAAAAGGAGAGAGGAGGGGTGCCAGAGAGAGAGAGAGAAAGAGAGAGAGAGAGAGAGAGAGAGAGAGAGAGCGGGAGGGAGGGGGAGAAGGAAGGAGAGAGGAGAGTAACCCCAAAACCATAGTTCTGCCGTGAGACAAAGTTTGAGGGATAGGAGTCACTTAATGGAATCTAGTTCGAGCAACTTAGTTTAAAACACACACACACACACACACACACACACACATTTTGGAGACAACTGAGAAAATCTGAATTGGGCATTAGAAGATATCAGAGATTTATTATTTTCAAATAGATGTAGCAATGATAATAGTGGAAAGCTTCATGAAGAAAATATCCTCATCGTAAAGTTATGAGAGAAGAACTAAAGAATGCAAAAGAAAGAAGAACATGTTTGTAATTTACTTCTAAAATGCTTTTAAAAGAAAATAAAATGTCAGGCATAAAGGTTCATACCCAGGTGAGGCGAGAGGGTGCTAACAGGGGTACATCATGAGTCTGAATTCCAGACCGCCCTGGGAAGTATAATAAGTTCTTTCTCAAGAAGCAAACCAAAAGAAAGAAGGAGGGATTGGAGTAAGAAAAAAATATGGCAAAATGTTAACAACTGCCAAACCAAAACAGACCATATATGAATTTGAATATTGTGCTATCTTCATAACTGAAATGTTCTATATAATGAATAAAAATTTATCTCCAAATTTACATTTCTCTAAATATACATTTCTAACTTTTTCTAAGTTAGCTTAACTTTAAAAAAGCAATTTAAGTGTTAATTTCAATGACTTGGAATATTTGGGGAGTTATTTTCTCTGTCCTCAGTTGTCTAGGCAATTTATTAAATAATCCCTCTGCTTTCCCCCATTTATTATCCTTTATTAAATTATTAATATGGCAGGGTCCACTTCCGAGCTAACTGTTCCATTGGTTTGTCTATATCAGTGCCATTTTAATATAATAATAGCTTTATGTAGTAACAGAAACAAACTAACTTCTCTTCAAATCTCAAAGCCATCATTATCAATTTTCTAAGTAATATTTGGAGCCTTCTTGGTGCCCCTCCAAAATCGCATAGTTCTTTCTTTCTTGTTTTTTAATCTGTTGTGATTAGAACCAAGATGGGGAAGTGTCATGTCTAGAATCCCAAAATCCTGGTCTTTATTTTCTCTTAACTGTGGGTCCAGTTTGCTCTGTTCAGATTCTTTGGCCCACTGGTATTCCTTCCTGCTCTCCTCGGTGACATAAAAGCTGTGTACTCCTTCTTCCACACAAATCTGAAGGGGGCAATTTCATGGTCAGGGCTTCTGCTGCCACTTCCCTCTGACTGGGTTCCCACTTCATTATACTGTTCAACACTTCCGGATGTGCTCCGTTTTCTCTGCTTTCTTTTCAAAAGAACTTGTGTGTGTGGTCCCAGACTCACACACACACAAAAAAAAAATAATCCTCAAATTATTATTTCTCTTATTCTGGGCATTCAGCTGATACTTCCGCAGACTGTGTCCGTAGCCGCTTGTCCTGGCAACCCTCCTCACTGCTGGTCACTCAGAGTCTGAGTGAAATCACCAGCATTTTCACTGATTCGTTCTGAAAACTTTGAAAGTACTTTGTTTTCCCAACTCAGGTGCAGAGCGCAGAACCTCTTCCACAAGGATTCATGGTTATCTGGACCTTTGTGCAGCAGTGGTCTGTCGTGTCAGCTAATTCTTTCTCCAGTTCCATTCTGCAAGTCATTAAAACTTAGTCATCCACACATTTAATAGCCACATACTTTTTGGTCCCCATGCATATGGTCGGGCACAGAGTAAAGGGCAATCTCTGTGGTGTAAGATCAAATGCCGCCTTAGCCAAGAGAGCAAGTGCTCCCTTCTGGGAGGATGTTCATCTGATTGTCTCATCATGATTCTGAGAGTCAGAACTTGCAGCAAACCTGTGAGAACTCATCAAAACTCTTCGTTCACCTCTAAACAGGACTTCGAAAGCTTACACTGCAACTCTCACGGGGAAAATATAAATTCTGAAAACATCATCCCTCCATCATTCCAGGTCTGCACCAAGCTTCCTGGGTGGGAGTCTTGTTTGGCTCCCAGTGACCCACATAGAAATGTCCATCACTCTTCAGGGCCTCGATCCACGTGGAAGGATGTAGCACTCCTTACTCTGTGCACACACATACAGGCACCAGGAGCAGGTCGCAGGGCAGCACCAACAGAGCTGGGCTTTGGAGCAGGGCAAATATTTTAAAATACATAGGAACTACATGATGGACATGGAGGAGGGCCTTGTACTCATCTCTCAACTGCTGAATATTGGGGACCTCAGAGTTTACAGTAATTTACAAAATTATCACGTGATCCTGCCGTTGTCCTAAGCCAATACGATTTCGAACTATATTCTTAATAAGTATTTATTAATACTTATATGTTTTAAAGATTTATTTATTTATTATGTATACAACATTCCTTCCATGTATGCTTGCACACCAGAAAAGGGCACCAAATCTCATTATAGATGACTGTGAGCCACCATGTGGTTGCTGGGAATTGAACTCAGGACCTCTGGAAGAGCAGTCAGTGCTCTTAACCTCTGAGCCATCTCTCCAGCTCCTAATACTTATATGTATAGTCACAGAGGAGTACAACTCTCACCCCTCATCAAGGAAGCCCTCTGGGCAACAGATGGAGACTGCTACAGAGACTCACAATCGGTCAAAGTTCAGAGAACTGTGGGTGCTGGCCGAATACGCCCCTTAGGCATGGCGGCGAAAACGCAGCTGTGAAATCTCAACAGTGTGGTTGCCTGAGCAACATTGGCATCACGGATCTACTAGTTGACATCCCAATGTGGGCAGGGCACATCCCGCATGGTCCCACCCCGAGATAAAGAGCTACAGGTGGTGAATAGATGCTGAGAGAAGAGTAGCTTCTTCCAAAGATGATGGTCAGTCTTGGGCAACATACAAGCTATGCTCAATGGACTCGGCGCATTGCACACACACACACACACACACACACACACACACACACACACACACACACCTGCGTACATGTAGCAATAAAAAGACCATGAATTAGGAAGGGGGACACAGAAGGAGCGTAAGGGAGGTGGAGGTATGGAGTGTTGTAGATGCGATGCTTATGCATGACATTAAAAGATTTTAAAAGAATCGGGATACGCTGTGGTGCCACATCATTGCTAGTGCATAGCTGGGGCCGCCTGCCCATCGCGGGTGGTCCTTTTAACTGCTAGCTACAGATCGAAAAAGAAAAAATAAATAAAAACTAAAAAAAATCAGGGCTGAAGAGATGGCTCAGCAATTAGAAACACATGTAGCTCTTGCAGACCTGGGTTTGGTTCTCAGCACCCAGAAAGTGGTTCACAACTACACGCAACTCCAGTTCCAAGGAATCCTAGCCCTTCTTCTGGGCTTCCTCAGGCTCCTGCATGCCCTCTGATGTATAGAAACTCATACGGCCACATACATATATAAATAAAAACAAATAAATAAGATATGTAATGTATTTAGTAACCCAGTGTTCATTACTAAACAATAATACAGAGATGGTTAGAAGCTGCTCTTATCTAAAAGCCTGCCCTATTAAGCTTGATTTTCAGATAAATAACAGATACTATATCTTCAGTATAGGAATATTCGGTGTCATGTTTGGGGTGTTTATTCTCTTAACATTTCAGCAAATCCAAGAAGCAACAAGAGTCTCATTAGGTTGAGGTCCAAGCACTATGACGACCACATTCCTTCCAGGGGCAGCCAGCATTCTCTGACTTTTAGCCACATCATCCTAGTCTGTGAAAAACAAGCATCTTCAAGTCAGCAACTACTTCTGGTTGAGATCTCTCTTCTGTCTGAGTCAAATCTCCATCTCACAGATTTTATAAGATCCCCCCCCCCTATATTCATACATATGTGTGTGTTATACACACACACACACACACACACACACACACACACACACACACTAAGGCATCTGTCTCTCCCCCCATCCCCTTTTTCTTTTTAGTTTTTCAAGATACATTTTCTCTGTATAGTCCTGTCTGTCCTGGAACTCACTCTGTAGACCAGGCTGGACTCAACTCACTGTCTCCCAAGTACTGGGATTAAAGGTATACACCACCACTGCCCAGCGGTATTTGGCTCTTCAAGGCCCACCATAACCTAATAACTCCCTATTTCAAAATCTTTAACTGCATCTGCACAGACCCTTTTTCCAAAAGCACCGTGTAAGGTTCCCAGGAATTGCAGTCTGATATCCCTGGGGCATTCGTTGTTTTAGCCAGCCGTGGTGCTCTGAACACCATCTACTCTAATGGAAAGGTCTAGAGAAGCAAAGATGATACTGATTATGCAGTTGGGCAGGAAATAACAGAAAGGGGCAGGTGTCAAGAAAGGCTTCCTAAACCCACGGTCAGAAAACTTAAATCAAACACTGAAAGAGCAGACAGAAGAAACCGGAGAGCCCACCCACTCGGGGAACACAGCGATCGAACACTTGGGGAACACAGCGATGGGACAACCCCTCCAGCCCACCAAAGACAACAGGCTCCATCACTGACGTCACATCAGGGAGTCACATCACTGCGGAGAGCAAGAGACAACGAATGGATGGCAAAGGTGGACCTGTGAGTCCACCACATCTCTGGGACGCGCAAGGGAGAGGCAAGAAGACTTGACCCTGGGCCTCTCCACATGGGCTGCAGTGCCCTTCAGGGTCCCTACTGCAATTACATGAGGGGAAAGTAAGGTGGGAAGAGAGTAAATACGAGCGAGGAACAAAGACAGACGTATGACATGTCTGAAACCTTTCATTTCTCTGAACCCCAATCCTGTGCTAGAGTCTGACGAACCCTGCTTCTGCTGGGAATAGGGCTTCCTGCCTTCACTTAGCTAACGTGTCCTCAACTCTAAGACTTAACTTACCAGTTCCTTGGAGAGACCTCCCTTTATCTCCCTCGTGGGAGTGAAGGGTCTCCTCTCTGGGCCACCACAGCATCCATCCTATGTTCCCTCTTTTGTTTATTAATACTTAGCGATCCTAGCTGCCGCTTAGTTGCCCCTCACCACAGGATCCACCCACCACCTTACTGTCTGAACCCAGTAAAGTACCAGAGACACAGGAGGTTCTCAATAAATAACAGTTACCTTAGTGCTCTCAATGTAGATCTGAGTAGCATAGTTATCTGCATTGATGCCCAAGGACCGAGTTCAATATACGGCTTAAGTATTGTGAACAACCTAATAACATTATTATCTGAAACACTGACAATTAAAAACTAATCTGCATTCGAAATATATGAATCTCATAGAAAAATATGAACAAACTCCCTGGGGTTAAAAAAAAAAAAAAACAGACACTGGTTCGGTGGTAAAAGTACGCTTCAGTAGTAAATGTATGTCGCCCTCATTCTGAATCTGTACAAAAAGCAGTGACGTCACTGTACCTGTCCTACACGTTCTGTCAAGACCTCCACATGGATGGTTCTCAGTTTTGCAAGCTCAAGCACTCAGTTTTATCTTTTTGTTCAAAGGGGAGAAGTCAGCAATACTGACTATGGCATTTGTCATCTGAGCACAGAATACACACACACACAAAAAAAACTCTTTAAATAAACATTTCTCAGTTCTTCCGAGAATGGCAACTTATGAACAGTACATGCTTTAAAGTCATTGGTGTTATTTCACCCCCAGGACATCAGAGGGATTAGCTTACACGTGATAAACTCCTGTGAGACACACACACACTCACACACACACACTCTCTCTCTCTAGAACATGAGCATGCACACCAACATACACCAGTAAAATCAGAGCCCTGCATCCCTGCTACCCATCACGTGCCCTGAAAACTGCGAACTTCGCAGCTTTAAAGGATGCTTTAAAAGAGCTGGCGTATCCTCCTGATGCAGACTTCCTCTCTAGAGATCAAACCGAACCTTCTGACGGAACCACCTCACCCCAGCACACCCTCCAGGTCACTGCTGACTGATGGATGAGATGCAGTAGCCATGAGTGCTAGACTATTGTTTTTCAGGGTGTGTGGTTTCTTTTCTTTAACAACTGTGAAATGTGATGACTCACTAATTTATTTATTTATTTATTTATTTATTTGTAGGTGTTATGTCTACATGTATGTCTGTGCACCCTCAAAAGGCAGCTGTGTCTAGTATCCTCAATAGGCAGAAAAGGGCCTGTCCTAGTTAGGTTTATTATCAGTGTGATGAGACATCATGACCAAGAGCAACATGGGGAGGAAAGGGTTTATCTGGCTCACACTTCCATAGCACTGTTCATCACTGAAGGAAGTCAGAGCAGGAACTCAAACAGAGCAGGAACCCGGAGGTAGGAGTTAATGCAGAGATCATAGAGGGTTGTTGCTTATGGGCTTACTCAGCCTATTTCCTTACAGAACTCAGAACTTACCAGCCCAGAGGTGGCCCCACCCCAAATGGACTGGGCCCTTCCCCATCAATCGCCAATTAAGAGAATGGACTATAGGCTTGCATACACCCCAATCTTATAGAAGTTTTTTCAATAGAAGCTCCCTCTGCCTTGATGAATCTACCTCGTGTCAAGTTGATATAAAACTAACCAGCACCAGGGCCTGGCACTAGAGTTACATATGACAGTGGTCCCTGACACTGGAGTTACATATGGCTGTGATCCCTGACCCAGTAGTTACATATGGCTGTGACCCCTGACCCAGAAGTTACATATGGTTGTGGAGCACCATGTGAGTGCTAGGAACTGAACTCAGGCCTCTACAACAAATCTAATAGTTCTAAACCACTGAACCTCCCTCAACCATGAATTCTTATCCATTTGTTAGATAGGGATTTCTATGCCCCTGGGTGCTAGTCCACACAACAGGGGTGTGACAGATGCCATAGTACATATTCTTCTTTAGAATTAGTAGTAACTTTAACACATTAGGTAGGCATTCTGAAAAAAAGCCTCACACGACTCAACTTTCAGCACTTCAAAAACTTATGCTCAGTAAAATGTTTTAAGGTGAGGAGCGGTTGCTCACACTGAGGCAGGTAGAGATTGTCATGAGGTTGAGATCAACACGAACTGTGTAGTGAGTTCCAGACAATTATTTGGGCTATACAGTGTCATACTCTAAAAAGCTAAAATTAAAAGTGGACTTACCCATGACCTCACAGTTTCACTGCTTGGGATAAACTCCAAAAAACTGAAACCAGGGATCCAAGCTCATACTGGCACACCCATGCCCACAGACAGTAGCATTATGCAAAACAAGAAAAGATGGAAGCAATCCAACTACCACTGCATGAATGAAAAATACACATGCTGGGGCTGGAGAGGAGGCTCAGTAGGTAAAGAACACTTAGTGTTCTTGCAGAGGACTCGGGTTCAGTTTCTACCACCCATATGATGACACATAACCTTCTGTCACCCCAGTTCCAAGGGGATCTGATTCACCCCCTTTCTGACTCCACAGGTCCTAGATGCACACGGTGCACTTACATACGGAGCTCTCACAACATGCAAATAAATGGGAACGAATTTTTAAATTTACATGCTGGCATATTAGTTAGCTGGGAAAAGGAAGGAAGTTCTGGCAAAAGCTACAGTATGGATGAGACTTAAAGACAGACGCTAATTCAGTCACTAAAGTACAAAATCTGTATGATACCCCCTTAGGTGAGAGAGTGAGTGCATCAATATTCAGAGAGTGTAGAAGAATAGAATGCAATGATAGAACAACCATCATGTCGCCCTGGTTCATAAAGTTCCGCGGAAGAGAAGGAGGGAGGAAGGGAGGAGGGAAGAGTGGTGGAGAAGCAATGGCAGTTGGGTAGGCAGGGATACCCCCTCCCCAACACCCATTGAAGAGTAAGGGCTAGGTGACTTCTGAAGCAGCCCCGTGTTCCCTGCCCAACTCCGTTTGTCTCCAAAGAAAGAGAAGATGGATTTGTAGGGAACAGAGAGGGAATTAGAACCATGCAGTATGTATGTACTGACCCTGCCATGGATGCATAACATGCATGCTCTCATCTGCTTCTCATAACAAACATCTATTACCTTCATTTCATAGACAGCCAGCTAAGGCCCAGAGTAATTAGTACTTCCCAAATTCACAGGGCTTGCAAGAGTTAGGATTAGAATTCCAGTCTACTTATTTTGTGCAGTGTTACCCAGGCTCATCCGACTGTCTGGTACATCCCACTGTGGTCTGTAGACTTGGTGCCTGTCCCTGCCTCCTCCTTAGGAAGAACT